AGAGGTGGTGGTAAAGGAGGATTTCACACCTTGGATCTTTTCCAAAGGGAATAGATGGAATTCCCAGCAGAAAAAGCAAATGGCCTTGGCACAGCTGCTTAATCTTCTGAGGCTAAGCCCCTTTTATTGTTCATTCACATTACATTCCTCCATATATGTACATCACATCACACACAACAAAAAGGGGGATTACCCAGGTGGACATAACTTCCGCTACTAATTTTACATAACCAAACTACACCTTACAATACATTTGATCAATTTGCTTTTGAAATCTCTTCCATATTTGCTTAAGTTGACACTCTTTGGGATTCTTAGGTTGTGGGCATTTCATAGCCTCTTCAAAACCTTATTCCCATAGGGTACTCCAACAATGTCCCCTTGCAAAACCTCAGAATTTTCCATTGGTTTGCCTCTCCTGTGCATGAAATGGACATGGATCAAGTTAGATCATATTCACTAGGCAAAAATCCAAAACACAAGTCACAGAAGATACGAAGCCAGAATCCCCCAAAAACCAAATTTAACATGTCCACTAAGCTGGAGGGGAGGTGAGCCACTGCCCAAACACTGGTTGAAAAGTGAGGTTTTCAAAAATTGATGGAATGAGTTGCAGTATGAAAACCATAACTTCTAAGTGCTTCACTTGCGCACTTAGCCTTGCCAAGTTTCCAAGCGATGAGGTTCCACATAAACAAAAAGAAAACCAAGATATAAAAAAGATGGAGCAGGAAGCTAAACAAAGAACACAGAGAGAGTATCCTTCTACACAGTCAATAGTCTTTTGTTTTTCCTGTGTCCAAAGAATAACAACAGCCTTTTTTCCCCCTAAGCATGCTGCTGGCCTGCCAGAGTGAGTCTAGCCCCCCAAACATTATGATGCAAGAAAACAAATTGAAGGAACAAGGGCTCATATCCAACCAGTATATGCTGCAAAGTCTGACTCAATCATCCATAATTTGCTAACTGGGTTCAACATCCCAATTTCACTGCATTTTTAAACCAACCTTTAAATTTCAGCCAAATTTCAAGCTTTCATATCTAATTTTCTGAAATTCTTTCATTTAAAAAAAAAAAACACCTAGAGTATTTAAAATATTTCCCTTGGATTCTTCAGAATCCCAGCCAAACCATGCCCACAAAAAATTGGGTATTGATGGGGCTATGACTCCTTTACAATTCTAATTACACCAATTAGAGGGAATTCGGTCGGTCCTACTATATCTAGGTGATCACAAACCCAATTTATGGTGACTGATTGGACAGGACAAACTATGAGGAGAAAATAGAATTAAGAGACAAAAACCACACTGACGAATAGCCTCTAAAATTTCAAGAGCAGATGAATCTACCACATCTCATAGCACCAAAATATCCTACATTCACTACCCAAAAATCTCCCGAGTCAGCTCACTTCACCCAAACTTAACTCATACTAGCACACTAAAAAACAATCAAACATAACACATAACATCACGAAGTACTAAAGCAGAAAAAAAAGCACACAGAAATAGCGTTTATCACTTACCGGCATCAGGATTTAATCCTTGAAAATGACCAAATCGGCAATTTCCAACAATGGGTTTAAGCAATCCGGCGAGAATTTTCTGGCAAACAAGTACTCATTTGACGAATTCGATTGCCTGAGCGTGTAAATCAGCTCAGGGGACACCTCAGGAGGCCTATAAGTATGTGGGTGTCCATTAACACTATCTGTCCAATTAACTCGAGTCAGTGTGTAATGTGTACAACCATTTGGATCCTCCATAGACAACAGTGTTGGGAAGTAATGCTCTTCTGGGTAACAAGACTGAACCCTCAAACAAGGAAGCTTGAATTTCCTCCACAGCTTCCTCTCCCTAACAACCAACAAGGCATGCCTTCTTGTTAGGATGAAAAATTGAGACCCAACTCTGAATTTTTCAAAGGGAACTTCTGGCAACATCACGTTTTTCCCTCTAGCATTGTATCGATCCCCCAATGTGGATTCATTGGAAAGAATTTCAATAAAACTACGGAACTCAAATTCTGGAAATCGACTCATCTTGGACATTTTCAGATCAAAAAGTGTGTGGTATACAAAATTGAAAGAGTGCAGCGGTATGCAGTGTTGGGAAATGAGTGCAAAATAGGCGTTGGCGGAGTCATCTAAAAGAGCCGTGGCAAGTAAGCGGCGGGCAGCGGAGATGAGTGTCGGTGATGAACGCTGAGTTGGTTTTGATGGAATGAATCTATCTTGAAACACACCTCCTGGTGGATCAATTTTCACCGTCGGGTCGGCGTGAATGTAGATATTGTACAGATTGTGAGATGTGTTGCCGAAGAACTGTTCCCACAAGGTTGCGAAGTGGAGATTCGAGTTGGTTAGGAAGAGAAATGCGATCTTGGGTTTGGTATTTGTGGCTCCAAGTCGGGATTTGGAAGATGGGTATGATGATGATGAAGAAGTTTGAGATCGAGACCAAGTCTTATGCGATAATGCTTCGGATGAGGCCTTTTGGAAGAGGGCGAGGTCATCGAGTTCATCAGGGAGAGAGATGGGGATTTGACGAGGAGGTAGGATGCGAGGGGCTAAGAGGAAGATGATGGGAAGAGAGAGAAGGAGAAGAAATGTTGGGATGAATGGGGATGACGAGAACATGGTGGGTGGGTATGGGGGGAAAAGAATGGGGAAATGGTATGTGGTGTTGATTTTGTTTGGGAGCAGAGAAAGTGAGGGAAAATTTGGGGAGTTTTAGGCGAAAGTGAATGAAAATGGGGAATGGGATTTCATTTTTGTGGGATTTGGGAGATGGGTTTTGGGGGTAGGGGGTGAGGAGTTAGGGTTTGTAGATTGATCATCTGGTTTTTGCAGTGGGAGTGAGAGAGTTTAGTGTGTGTGTGTGTGTGTGTGTGTGAGAGAGAGAGAGAGAGAGAGAGAGGGTGGATGAAAGAGGAAGGGATGAATGGTGGGAAGTGATTGGGACAGTATGGACCGTGTGGTATGGGGTAGGAGTCAGATGTAACGGCGGGGTGTAATTTTTACGGCGGAAGAGGAAATATTTTTCTTGTTTAGTATCCTTAAAAAATCAATATATTATAAGCATGTATAAGTGAGATTTTTGTAATATTTTTTATTTTAAGTATTTTTTTTAAAAAAATTTTGTTATAAAAATATTCAAATTTGTACCGACTATTCTCTCAAATTCTGAGTCGATTATTATGTCTCTTGAGAATCAGGGGTATTAAAGTGTAAATTATCCAAGTTCGTTTGTGTAAATATTTGTGGATATCTTACTTCAGTTTTGAAGATGTGCATGTGTTGTTAAAGTGCGAGGACTATAAAATTGAATGAGAGGGGAATCACTGAAATTTTCAGATGTCATAATAAATATAGATCTGAAAACTTTGGAGAGGGGAATCACTGAAATTTCCAAATGTCACAATAAATCTAGATCTGAAAACTTTATAAAATTCAACAATCTTAAATGCCAAGTGAAGCATGATGCATAAAAAAAACAAACTGTTTAGGATTAATTTTTACTCCATTTTCACTTTTTGGAATTCTTACTCTTTGCACATATTTACATAGATCGCTCAGAAGAAGAATGAGACAATCAACTTTCAATCCCAAAAGAACAAGATTTTTCATAAACAATATAGAAAAAGAACGAAGAAATGGCCGAGGCCAGAAAAAATTTTCAAACCCGCTTGCACATGTGACGGAATATATATCGAGATTCACACACCCCTAGATAAATCCATCATTTATTCTCTTACAAGAATCAAACTTGTGTTTTCGATATGAAAAGATGATTTCCTAACCACTCGACGAAAGGCACCAAGAAGTCATTTTTTCATATATCCCAACTGCGAAAATAGAAGTGGGTTGTTTTATTTCTCTATGCAATTCAATCTTGTCAAAGAAATGGAATTGGCACAAGAGAAGGAGATTGAAGTCTACATTCCTCCTCATCAAAAACTCCAACTAGAGCAATAGCTCCATCGTTGTATCCCATCATGGTTAACTTTATGACATAGAAAGAAAAATTAGAGAAAAAAAAAAAAAGAAAGAAGAAATACCAGTGCATAATGTTAAATTCACACTCCCAGAACCATTAGAATTTCAAACTAGAATATGAAAGCTAATGTATTGTTTGGTTATGCTTTTTAAAATACTTTTAAGCAAAAAAAGAAACTAGTTTATCTAAAAAGAATACATGTATGATGAGTACTTTGTATAAGTAATTTCACAGGTGTCTTGGTATACAAATAATACACTTATATATGTACACATAAGCATTATCCCATATATGATGAAACTTAGAGGGAGGGGGCAGATCAAGACAAGGAAGAAAAATAAAAATGCAAGACAAGCACCACCTAAATAAGTAATTTACAAAAAGCAATGAAGCAAAAAATAAATAAAAAAAAAAAAAACATTATCAAACATTATTTTAGCATTTTGTGAGCAACCTCTTCTTTCTAGAATCACAACATAGAGAACTAAAGTATTTTCAACAAGCATCACACTAGAAAACCAAAAATGAATAACCTCCACATAGTACAACACAATAAAATTACAACAGATCTCTTTCAAGCTTTGCCTCATTCTACAGTCTGCATCCACTGGTAATGGGGAACAAATAACAACTTTCGACAACCAGTTAAACATAAAAGAGGCCTAGAACACATACAGTGACGTTAAGACGGGCAGCTGAGAACTCTGAAATTGGAACATCAATAGGGAGCTTACAGGGAAGGGAAGAAATTGGGCTTACAGGGACATAGCACCAATTGAACAAATGACAATAATAATCACTTAACAACATTCCTAATCCAACTAATCTTATTTTTTTGACAACATGCCTGTCTCCTCAAATCTCCCAGGCCACTGCCAATAGAAAAGGCACGACAGAAGCAATGGCGTTGAATCTCATTGGAAGAAGGGACCCTATATGTACAAACTCAAAAGGCAGCGCTTCAAGGGCAGAGTAGGATCTCCCATGAGAATTCTTAAGCTAATGATCAACAACCTGCGGAAGAGATTTTGTAGCATTTAGGTCGGTTCCATTTAGCTTCGATTTATCCTTTAAGGGCTTCTGTGCGCCAGGTGACTTTTTGACAGTAGTTCTACCAGGTTGCCTGGCTGTTTGAGGCCCAAGACCTTGTCCTGGGAAGATCAAATCAAACAAAGTAATGACAAAAAATTAACAATATTGTAAGAAAGCCATATATTTGACATGACAGACAGGAAGCACGGTCGGAGGTGTACATCATCTTAACGCAAGTTAACTAAAGCAGGTAACAACTATGTAACTAATTGATTACGGCTACTTGACCAAAAATCATTTATATTCACCAGAAACATTTCAAATCTTTGTCATCTCTTCGGGTAAACAGCAAACCAAGATGAGTAGAGTAGGAACTGCTAAATTACCCATGTCAAACATGCAACAAGTTGGACCAGTAAAAAGGATCCCGAGACCGACAGACATTTGAGCCAGAAAGAGCAGATCGGCCCATTTTCATTTTTCACCACAGGTAGCAGTACTTTCGGAGAGAGCATATCAGATTGAGGACTAACAACCAAGAAAGAGAGAGAGAGCGCAACTCACCGCTACTAGGAAGAGAAAATCGCTTCTTTCCTTGCTTATCTGAAATTGTTGCCCTCTCTTTGGGATTACTGTGGGATCTTGAACCTACACCAGGGGTGGAGGTAGCTTCTTCGACCAAATCTTCAAGAACTGGCTTGGACTTTGGCTTGGTAGACATTGTGGCAGATGCTTCTTGTATGCTTGTGGACTTGCTGGGAGAAGAGGCACAGCCATCTGAATGAGATGGACCCATTTTCTCATTCGGAAGGTTTGAGTAAAGGTTTGAAGAAATGAGTTTCTTGCCAGCGGGCTTTAACTGAGTCGGAGTACCATTCTTTCCATCTGCTGATCCATTCTCACGAAGCATTACTCCATCTCTAAGATTAATGTCAAGAAAACGGTTTTCCCATGGACGGACAGCCATCCATCTCTCCAACCAGTTCCAGCCCCAGTTGCTTTTATCTGGTTCGAACCCACTGGGAGCTGCCTGCTGTCTTGATCCTGCCTGCCACTGCAGCACCGAAACTGATTTTATTTCATGTCCACTTTTGACTAATATGGAAGCAAAAACACATTAAAAAATGAATAGGTAACAAAAATTGCAACATTGATTACAATAATATCAACAATACAGGCACAACACAGAGACTTCAAGATCTGCTTGTAAAGGACATGGAAACAGAATGTATAAACCCTGCACCCTAAACTAACATGGAAATGTGGAAGGAAAAAATTAAAAACAGAATGCCCATGCACATAGCAACAAAAAAGTACTATCATAAATAGCAAATAAAGTGAAGGATAAACTTTCAAAAAAAAATAAATAAAGTGAAGGATAAGCATTAAACAATGAACATCTACTTCCGATTAGAAAAAGTAAATCTTTTTCTTCGGAAAGTAAGATAAAATCTGATATAATATTGCTTAAAGGTAAATTTTGTAACTTATCAACCATAGGAATCATTAAATCCACCATGTCACATAAACAAAGACAGAGGCAGAGCAAGGAATATGTTATGCATGTGCATATAGGTACATGGATATGAAAATATGCGTGTGTATTTCTGCAACGTAATTATGATAACTTCTCTTCCCTTTCCATGCCCATGCTTTCAATTAAATTTCTCCTTGTCTTTTGTTATGTATAACTTTTTGTATGGATTCTGTAAGATACTTTTTCTCATTCTGGAAGTCATTCACATCTTACTTTTCAAATTTAGCTTTCACCTTGCAGACATATCGAACATGTGTTAAACATATATCCTACAGCGTTAGTGAAGTATTGGGCGAAGAGTATGTCATACATAGATGCAGAAACTTCTTACAATGGCCAATGCTTCTTATATATTATTGGGTTACTAGTATTGGAAGTAGGAGTTTTTTTTGTAGTTTTGGGTTATTACCATATATAGGGCTAGTCTAACTGTCTAACCATTCATGGAGACTAGACAATTGTTCCATCTAACATGGTACCAGAGCTCCGAAGACTGTAACCCTAAAATTTTTCATCTCTCCTGCTTTGGGTTTTTTTCTCTTTCTTCTCTCTTCGGCATAGTTGGCGACCCCCTGCCAGTTGCGGCCCAGGCATCGGATTCTCCTGGTTCGAAGAGAGCTATGGATGAAAAGATATTTGTCATCCATCAAATTGGTACATGGAAGTAATTTTCTTTCAGGGCACTATGTCATGAGGTATCGATGAATGTATGTGGTTAATTATTATCCTCTTGGTACTGTGGAATGGTTAGAAGCTGACCAAGTCCTTTTGTTGGGTTAATGTCTGAGCCGGATTTAATGGCTATGCTCAAAACCTAATTGGACAGGTGATCATCTAGACAGAAGGTCTGTGTTAGGATTCTGCACAATTATTGATGGCAACCTTGTTACATGGAACCAAACAAAGTGCGTAATAGTTGGGTCCAATACAGAAACTAAGTACAAACCCATGGCTCACACAACTTGAAAGATTTCATGGGTTGAGATCATTGAACTAGCCTATGACAGTCTATTGTGATAGTCAAGTTGTTATGTACGACGTCAAAAAAGAACAGTTCAAAACAGCACCAAACATATTGGGGTTGGTTTTCATTTTAATCAAGATATAGTGATGAAAAAGTAAATTGTTATCTCCTTTATTAGGTTGAGTGCTCAGCTAGGAGACATGTTTCCTAAGGCCTTAAGTGGCAATTTTCAGATGTTTGTAACAAGCTGGGCCAGATTGACATCTACACTTCAGCTGCAGAGGGAATATTAGTATCGGTAGTAGGCTTATTTTTGTGATTTTTGGTTATCAAAAAATATTGGATTGGTCTACCCACCATTCAAGGAGACTAAACCGCTTTTACATCTAAAATATTAAAATTGGGGAGGGGCCGAGAGTATGACCAGGTAGGAAAAATTGCCATTCAAGGTTTTACAGGCTGCTCTTGCTATGAAATGAGATGTAATGAAATATAAAAGCAAAATCATATCTGAATCATCCCAAATGCTATATTAATTGATGCATCCCCATGCCAAATGATGTGAAATGAAAACTACTGAGCCTGTGGAACAACACAGATATCATATGACAGCAGGATAATGACAAAAGCAGTATATATATCTTCAAGTCAAATGTGTCAATGACAAACAAGTGATGTTACATAAGTTACACTATACAATATCTAAATGTTCCCCAAAGTTTGAATAAGTTATTTAGGCAAACTCACATTTCCCAAAGTTTCAATAATGACTTAACAGTCGATAGCATGCCTGAGTTCACAATTCTAACACAAAAGGTCATTTAAGGTAAATTGATAAGCATATGCTCTAAATATTAGAACTTTTTCCTCATCGTTCTTTTAGTAATCTGAACTCTGCTGGTTGATTAAACAGTTCATTTATCTTCCTAAGCTGCAAGCAGAATCTACTGTCTCATGTTCTCAAGGAGGATACAAGTTCTACCTGGTGAGCCAAAGCATATGCCATGGCTCTCTCGCGTTTGGCTGCTGCCTCCTGTCTTTTTAACAACTTGGCTTGAATTTCTTCAACTGATCCTGCGATATCACACCACCCTTCCTGCATCAGTAGTTAGACGCAATGAGAAGTATTCCACAAGCCTTGTGATAAGTTCTATGACATGTATGAAAAATGGCTGTATCAGAAGAAATAATCACCCGTTCCAATTCTGTACACAAGATTTCATTCAAAATTTTTCTTTTATATTACAACACAACTTCAATATTTATATTAATACTAAGAAAATATTAGGATCTCTTTACTCATCAAAAAACAAGAATTTTGGGGAATCCCCTTAGTTTCATGTAGACAGCACAACTGCAATATTTACACAGCTACGTCCAGAAAAAGGTCTCTGCATACATTTTAAACAACTTACAAAAATCTAGATCCTAACCCTTTTGTTCCATCCATCTTTGGATGAGCCTTTTTGCAATTGCCAATCACACCTGACCTTGAGCCTCAAATTCGTTTAATTGAAATTCTATTTATGATTCAACTGCCAGCAGCGACCATTCCATGCAAGTGCTTTATCCTCGAAGCATAACTGCTTTACCTCAACCACTCAACAGAAGGTTTCTCATTTGCATTCTGTACCTTGAGATGAATTTCCACAATTTCAAAGAACCCCATTTCAAGAACCCAACAAAGAACTATCTTAGAAGGCCTCATACTCTGGTAGGACCGTTGTATTCTAACTATAAGACTCAAAACTCTTTGAAACCCTAACAATAACATTATTTTCAAGATTGCTATCACTTCCTGTATAAATTCTAAAAATCAGTTTCTTTGAATATTATGTTGCATTGACCTTGAACAAATTCCATTTTGTGCCTTCAGTGGTGCTGGGTAATAATAAGTTAACAAATTTCTTGGATTTGATCATTCCTGTAGGTTCTGTGCCATGCGATAGAAAGAGTTGATTAGCTTTTGATATATCTTTTCCCAGTCCCACAGGAGCAACGGAAAGATAGATTTCTAGATCCAGAGGGCAATTATTTCATGTTCTTGAAAATCGTAAGTTTCACCAAGGTTTATGAAAAAAAATCCAGAAAAAGTGATGAAGTGGGTAGTGGTAGATACCTTGTTCATATTTTTGCTAATAGGTTTTTGTGTATAAGAAACCATCGAAAGGCTACATTTTTTAAAAAATCGTAAGAATGGTGCTATTATACTACGGACTTACTTCTCTTTGCTTGTCTCACCACCAAGTAAAATTGCTGGCATTCACCAAAAAAAAAAAAAAAAGTTGCCAGCAGAAACATTGGTAATATACTGAAACTGCATCCATTTGATGTCAGGGGCATTCATCATATCAACAATATAACTGAATACCTTCATTTAGCATGTGCAGGCACCATAATTATCAGCGTTGCCCGGCCCTTAGAGTCAAACCATAAACCCGGCCAACGGGAGCCTAAGCTGGGCCAGTTCATAAGTTAGATCATCTATGCAATCCACCTGCCAAAAGCCCATTCTAACCGGGCTATTTTTATGAAACTCAACTGAACCGGATGGTTTGTATGAATCCAGTTCGTCATTAATAAAATATTGTAACTCAGCCTCAGCAAGTGGTTGCCACAGCTCAGGTCCCCTGTTTTCAAGGCCTCCACTATGATGCTTTCCAGCTCAGGATTCTGCACCTTTTATAGGCCACATGTTGCTTCGGTTTTCTCTTTGGATTTCAATCTATGAAGTATGGACACTCTTAAGAAGGTAACGTATCCATGTCGGACACTGACAGTATTTGGACACTTTTGGAAACGTGTCCTATACTCTTTTATCTCTGTTTATAATTAATTGATAAAAACATTAATTTCAGACACGCGTCCAACACTTCTTTGGTTGTGTCTGGCTTTTCTTTAAACCATGTCTACTGCTAAACAATAAACATGTATTGACAAGTGATTAATAAAGCTTAAAATTTTGACAAAAAGTATTTTATGTTATGACAATAAATAAAATTATCAAAACTAAACATGTAAAGTCGTACTCAAAATATAATAATAAAAATTTATTATAGTGTATCACGGACATGTTGTGTCCTACTGTTTTGAGAAATGTCGTGTCGACATGTTTGTGTATGCACTTCTTAGATTTCGATGTGTGATAGAATGATGTCTTTAAAGCTTGTGTCTTCTTATGTCTTCTCATGTTTCTTATGGGTTTTCTTCCAATCTTTTTATACTTTGAAGTATAATACCAAGGGTTATATTCAACACATGTTTATGGAATTTTTTATGCTCTACTGGATTTCATAAATTGCCCAAGAAAATGGATGAATTGTGAAGACTTTTTGTATTTTTATTTCAACTACTATTATATTAAAACATATTATTTTTACAATAACTTGATTTCTTAGCATATTAAATTAATGCCCATGTCGGATTTAATAATTATTTTTATTTTTTATTATATGAACACCCATTGATGCAACCCCTTTGCTGGGTTAATGCCCAAGCCGGAATTTAATAACTATCATAATTACGATTTTCAACGCAATTTTAAAGTCAAAATTTTACCCCTAGGACTTCGGCATAGGATTACCGGAATCGAATATCGTTTATTATGGAATTTGGTCAAATTTCATGATCCTACACTTACTAACACAAACGATGTTTAAGATTATTTCACACTTACCCAAAAAAAAGTAAGCTGACGATGAAGTAGAAAACTTTACATACATAATCTAGTGTCTTCCTTTTAAATGTTTTCCAACATCTTCTCAACTTTATATTTCCATATATAAAAAAGAGAAGCCCAGCCCATGTGCACAGTTATATAGCCAAAAAGGAGAAACCTAAAATAATAGCAATTTAGGAAATCAACAAACTAGCTATTTTCCACAATCCTCAAAAGTACAGTTCTAAAAAAGCTTCCTAGAAATACAAAATCTGTATCCAAAATCTTGTCATCTTACTTCCAAGATTAACTTGTCAACAGTTTACTAGGAAGCAACTCACCCAATGCATACCTTCCAAAAACCCAAAAATAGGTAGAGCCATGGTCTTCAACTACCAGACTAAGAAGAAACACATGGTCCAAAACTTCAACACATATGCTTGTACTAAGGACTTGAATGTTCCAAGTTAGTTATTTGTATCTATCGACCAGTAGTAAAAGAGCGTGCCCCACGCTCCCTATTGGACAATTATGCCTCTCAAATTTGCCACTGAGGAAAGACCCAAAATAGGGATTAATTGAAAATAACCCAATAGCATTAACACTCCAAACAATCACATTTTCAGCTCCTTAATTCAATTTCCTTGGGAAATCTTGTGAAAGAAAATCATGCAACTTTCCAATTCCCAATTATGAAGCTCATGCACAAAAAAAAAAGAACCCCGAACCACCCAAAACATGTTTCACTCCAACCATGGTTCAAAGTATCGGCTGATACGAGTTAGACGACTTAGCACCTTTTGACATGATATCGTTATACAACATGTATAAACCCCGAGTCTCACACGACTCGACCGAGCCATCCGAGTTGTATCCGAGTCAATCTCGAGTTATCATCAACGAATAGGTCGATACAGTTCCACGAAGCCATGATAGAATATGAATCTCTTGTCATGTTCAATATTTTCTTTTAGGTAATATCGTCTGATACCACGCAGTGACCGATATATCTCAAAGCTCTTCAAGTCAATAGCCAATACCACGACTTTAAACCATAATCCTAATTCAAAGTATCGGTCGATACCGATACAAGTTGGCCGAATCATATCCTACTCGACACCTTTCGAGACGATACCGTTATACGATACGTATACACCCCGAGTCACGCAAGACTCGACCAAATCGGCCAAGTTGTATTCGAGTCACAAAGTTATGGTCAACGGATTGGCCGATATAGTTCTGTAATGCTGCAACATGGCATGAATCTCGCGTCATGATTAACAATTTCTTTTAGGTCGTATTGCTAGATACCATGCCACAACGCCATGATTAATGTCTCAGCGTCCTCCAAGTCAATGGCCGATACCGCAACCTTGAACCATGGTCCAAATCCCTATCTTATGCCGCAATACATTCATCCTCCTTTCATCACCTCTAAAAGATATTTCTGCTCCATACTTTTCTCCCCAAATGCAAAATCAAAAATAATACTATCCCAAAATCTCCCAGCTTATGGCACAAGTCCATAGTGTCAAACATCAACCATAAATATGGCCTACCTCAAACACCAGCGTGATTGATCAAAAGAACCAAGGAGGAAGGTTTATAATTTACAATGCAAAAGAACACATTTATATAACCAAGGATCAAAATATTATTTTGCAGTAGTACTATTTCGTTCAGCTCAAAAACGAAATCGTTTGAAAAACGCAACGAAAAAGGAGAAAAATATAAAAATATGTGGATACACGTGAAAACACAAATAAAATCTATTTATTTATAAAGATAAACTTAATAATTGATTAATTGAACATGTTTATGAGGATAACATCCATTTATACAAGATAAAATCAAGTTTGGAGAAAAAAAAGGCTTGACACGAGGTTAAAATCACTTGAACTAATTTCAAATACTTAATTTCTATCAAGGAAACACATTTTTAAACACATAAATACTTAATTTCATATATTTAACAAACAAGGTATATACCATTAAATTAATTACAGCTATTTAATAAACCAGGTATATACCATAAAATTAATTACAGCTATTTAACAAACAGGGTATAGTGTTAATATATCAATTTAGCAAATAATAATAATATACAAGAATAAAAGAAAAAAGGAAAAAAAAAAGAGGGGATTATAATTTTTAACAATAATAAAATAAAAAAAGGGAGAAAATAGAATTAACTTAATTAACAAATATAAAACGCTTGAGATAGATATGAGTGAAAAGGGATACAAACTAAGTGTAGAGCCCCGTATATATACAGCCAATGAAAGTTACAATAAGGATAAAAAGGTAAAAAGAGAAAATTTAATAAGCCCAAATAAACTAGATTGCTGCTATATATCTAACACTCCCCCTCAAGCTAGGCGCAAAAATGTCAACTAAGTCAAGCTTGACAACGGAGTTCCGAAGAATGAATAGAGTGACAAGTT